AGACCTCTCTACATTGAATCATATCTGTAATTAATTTATTTCGCTCTACCACAGCATGTTTTTATCCTGTTTTCCTTCTCTCACCCCAACCAGTCGAAGCAGGCGGCTGCCCCTCCCTGAACCTGGTTCTGCCGGAGGTTTCTTCCTGTTAAATGGGAGTTTTTCCTTCCCACTGTCACCGAAGTGCTTGCTCATAGGGGGTCATATGATTGTTGGGTTTTTCTCTGTATCTATAAAGCGCCTTGAGGCGACTTTTGTTGTGATTTGGCGCTAAATAAATAAAATTGAATTGAAGTGAATTGAAATCATAGATGGCCCATAATTTTTTAAGTTTTAATGAACGTAAAACAGAAGCAATTTTCTTTGGTCCCAATTGTTCTCTGGTACTCTAGATGTTGACTTTGCTGCACTGACCCCTCACCTGAAGAGCTCCATTACTAATCTTGGGGTAAACATAGTCTCTGCACTTACTTTCGATGGCCCAATCGCGACACCATTGATGGCCTTACATTCCCACAAGCCAACCACGGTCCTGGCGATGGCAACAAAACGGTTCTTGTGGCTGCCCTGTTGGGTTCCTGGGGCTTTTTTAAAAGACTGATTCCTCCTTAGGTTGCCCAGTGGTCCTGTTTCCCCGGCTTCTCAGGGTCTGCTGGTGAACAGCTACCCCAGCTAGTGGGACCTGGCTAGCAACGGGTTTTTAAAGGGTGCTTACCTGAGTCTGGGAAGGGATCTCAAAACTCTGATTATAGATGGCAGACAGTTGGTGTCGTAAGCCCCACGTCTGTTCAAAGATGGTCATCCACAGTGGACATAAATGGCTTCTTTTACTCCTCTCTCAATCTACCCATCCTCTATGTCCAAAATGTGAACATTGGCATCCTCGAAAGAGTGATCTTTGTCCTTTAGATGCAGATGGACTGCTGAATCTTGTCCCATGGAGGTGGCTCAAGAATTTTACATATAGTTGTTTTTATTTTGTTGTTGTTGTTGGGTGTTTTTTACTGTTTAAGAATATTCAACACTGTTAATTCTGATTTTGTACTTGTTTTGGTGTTTAGTGTTTTATCATCCCTACATCTACTGAGAACCTGACTGAGAACCTTCACAGACATCCCTACCTGTATCTTTCCTCTGAGCTCTCTTCGTGTCCCCGAGATTTGTGTTTTAAAACAGTCTGTGAGTTTTCTGTTTTGCTCTGTAGGTCTCTGTTGCTCTGTAGGTCTGTGTCTCATTATGCCCATTAGTTCCAGCTTTGTCCCCTCCCGTGTGCCATTTCCTGATTACCTTGTGTGTGTGTATATTTTGTGTGTCAGTCTGTGCTCCTGGTCGCATCGTTCGCATTACTCTGTGTTACTCCGTGTCAATCTGTGTTTTTCCATGTCTCTCTGTGTATCTCCTGCTGTCCTTATGTTTTCAGGTTTGTTTGCTAGTTTTCCCAGTTTAGGTTTTTGTTCAGTTCTGCCCTCACCTTGGTTATTGTTGTAAATAAAACTCACTCGCACCTCCGCCGCTGCCTGCTACTTGGGTCCTCATTCGCTCCACCACACGACTGCTGCCCCAGCCGTGACAGCTATCAATAAATATCTCGCTGTGCAAAATTTGTTTAAAAACATAAACAACTGTGAGATACTGTTTGTCTGTGATTTGAACAAACTGTGGCAGGATCAGCCTAACAATATTTGTATCCCACTGTAACTTTATTGTATAAAGAGCTAACATCACAAAATGCCATTATAAGAAGTGTTAGTGAACTAAAAATCAAGCATGTGAGATACTGTTTGTCCGTAGTTTGGACAGCCAGCTTGCGAACTGAGGAATTCTTTAATTCTTTTCTAACCACAAAGTTGGTCTAATACACGTGCATCTTCTATTTTCTATCCAGTTTATGGGACTGCAGTTTGTCAAAGAGGAGCTGTGTGCATCTGGCCACAGCTCTGGAATCCAACCCCTCTCACCTGACAGCATTGGACCTGAGTTTCAACCAACTGCAGAATCCAGATGTGAAACACTTGCTTGAACTTAAGGAGAGTACAGACTGCAGACTGGAGAAACTGGAGTGAGTAGAGTGTTGGAGTAAGTGGGTGGTGCTGTCAGCAGTATTGTACTAAACATAGTCAGTATGAAAAAAAGATCCATTGTTTCCTGCAAAGCTGCAGCTTTTCAGTGAGGCTGTGAGAGGAGAATGGTGACAGGTCTCAGGATTGGACAGAAAGTCTAAGGAGCTTGGAAAGAAAAGAGTCTAAAATTCTTTGAGTTGCTAGAAGAAATTTCATCTCTCATCCAAAAAGTTTGTTCAATTTAGAACTAAAGAAGTTTGTGTAATAAACGTGGATCTGAAGAAGCTTCTCGGATGGGTAGTCCAGAAGCTTTTCTTTCCAAGCTGCTTAGAGTAACATGACCTGGATGACTGAGAACCTTCACAGACAGATTGGACAGAAAGTTGGACAGGCAGCCCATCAGATGATCCAGAAGATTGCTGCAATTATGTGTTCAAGTTGATGTGAAGTGAACTGCCGTTGTTGCTGGATTCCAGCTGCCAATTTTGCAAAATGTATGGAGACAATGGTCTTCATTTACCAGACAGTTTTTCTCATTTTAACTGACCAGTTATATCACTGTCACAGCGCTGAGATTGTATGGTTACATTGTAACCTTGGTTCTCTGAGTGAGAGACTCATCTCTCTACTCCGTTTCATATTCCATATGTACAGGGATATGAACCCTTCATGGTCGTGGTGTGTGGATACTTCTTTAAGACACTCTGGTTAGCCCGTGGTGTCTTAAACACCCCAGAGCTTGCATGTAAAACAGCTGTGCAAATGTGACATTGGTGATAGTTTGATCGGAATGCCTCTCCGAGCAGCCTGAAGGTGGAAAGATAGTCTCTCGCTTAGATAACTAAGGTTACAACGTAATCGTACGTTCTCTATCATATCAAGACTATTTCGCTACTCCATTACATATTCAATGTGTACAGGGTAACTCTCTAAGACACCCTGTGAGGAGACAGCGCAACCAAACCCAGAGTGAATGTACCAAATTGTACATATATACAGTGGGGCAAAAAGGTATTTAGTCAGCCACCGATTGTGCAAGTTCCCCCACCTAAAATGATGACAGAGGTCAGTAATTTGCACCAGAGGTACACTTCAACTG